TGCTGATGCCACCCTTTCTCTGCTGCCTGCACCAACTCCCAGCTTCTCTCCTTCCTCTGCCTGAGTGTCATCACATCCAGCTGATCCTTTCACCCTTCCCTCAGGGGGCACTCAGGGCCGTGAGAGGATATAGTGTCAGGAGGGGAAATCCTGATCTTGCTGCTGGTTTCAGCTGAAGGAGGCCCTGGCCATAAGCGGTGATTCAGGGCAGAGGAGCAGGCCCGCCCCACAAAAATGGGCCCTGGACCCTGTTTTTGCATGGGGAGGAGGTAGATGGTGTCAGAGTTCAGGCAGGGTAGAGGCTGTTGATGTAGGACAGGTTCCTGCCTGGGTCTGCACCTAAGAGAGGCCTGAATCTTTTAGCCACACTGCTTTGAACCTGCAAAGCAGGTCCTGGGATTTTGCAGAGCTTCTTCCTCTTCAGGGCACATGGTGGGGTAGGGTGAGGGGAAAGCCATCATCCAGGCCCTCTGATCCCACCTGGATACCCAGGAATGACCAAAGTAGGCTTGGTGTGATTTCAGGGCCCAAGAGAAGGTATCCCCCATCCCCCAGGGTAACCTCCTCCCTGTTGGTCGACTGGTGACTGGTATGGTTTTAGAGACTCTTTCTTAGAAGAGAGGAATGGCTAACCAGGAGTGATCAGTCACATAGCGCTAGTAACACATACTGTTCTGAACTTAAGACAGGTGAGAAAGGTTAGGAAGCAAAGAGAAGACACTTGGGGCTAAGAATGAGCAAGGAATATCACTGAGGACACCAAGAGAGTGAAAGGGAAGAGAGGGCAACGGGGTTTGTGGTCTCGCTGCCTGCACTGGCCCACCCCACCCCTCGTCTGGGTCCAGGCACGTAGACTAATATCCTGTCCTGGGTTTTCCTACATACCCTTATGGGGACCACATCCCCAAGTGATACTGCTGTTCATATGCAGACTGGAATGTAGTGCCTGGGTGCACAGGAAGGGCGAGGTGGGCATGGTGATGGCACCTCGGGGAGTTTTATCAGTGGGATTTAGGGCACATGGGGAGATGTCTGGGAAGAATTTGTCCAGCTACCCTTGCAGTGCCGTGTATGACATGTTTAATAGATTCCATTTATCAATAAATCAATGAAGTAGAGGTAGAAAGACTTACTTATTCTTTTAGCATTTGTAGTGCATGTTGTCATCATTATTCTACTGCTGCTACCACAAGGGATCCAGGATCCAATTGAACAGGAAGAGTTTGTTTAACATAATCACTATATGTTTTTATAACATAAAAAGTTCCCACAAAATCTACAAGATAAGCCATCCACAGAAAAGTAGAAACCGGCAGTTCACCATAGGACAAATACAAATGGCTAGAAAACATGAAACATTTTAGAGTCTACTACCAATCAAAGAAGGTATCTTCAGATGAGATGCCATTTAGCCTGTCTGATTGGCAGAGAGGACCATGTTGGCCAGAGAGTAAGGACATGGCCCTCCAGCCACTGAGGATAGAAAGGCAGTGTGGCAGTGCAGGCCACCACCTTTTAGTGTGCATTCCTTTGGCCCTGCAGTTCCCCGCCTAGGGAATGTGTCCCTTGCAAAGAGATTTCTGTACTTCTTTACTGCAGCACTGTTCATAAAAGCAAAAAATTGGAAAGTGCCCATCTGTAGAGAATTGGTTATGTAGACTGCGGTAGAGCCATACAGTGGAATGCTCTTCCATTAAAAAGGATAAGGTAGGTCTGTATATATTGACAGGGAAGGAAGTTTCTGACAAATTGGGGATTCCATTGTTTAAAAATCCTCATGTATCATAGAAGACAGTAGAAGAGTATACACAAAGGACCAGTGGGGCTAACTCAGAGGAGTAGGAACATGGGTGGAGAGGATCTGTCATAAGATGCTACACACCCTTGTGTATTTTTCCCAACAAGCCTGAAATACTCTCGTACGTTAAAAAGCAATTACATTGTTTTCCTTTAAAAAGTTAGGAAAAAAAAGGCCACAGGTTAGGGGCCCTAGAGACAGAGCCTCATCCTGTCAGAATTGGGGATCACACAAACCAGAACAAGAGTCCCAGGTCAGCCACTATGAGCTGTGGCCCTCGCAGGTACCACAGTCTCTTCACCTTTAACGGTTCCATCCTGTCCACCGGATGTCCAGCCAGGTAAGGAGTAAATGATGCTGTCTGACACACCACAGGTCTCTCAGCACCTGCTGGTTCCCTGCCCCACCCCCTGAGTCTGACTTTGACTTCCGGAGTCCCTTCAGGGACCCATGAGGATGGGGTGCAGCCTTGAGCCTGAAGGTTGCCGTTTGCTTCTCTTCTGATCCTCCTGACCACGCATCTCTGTACCAAGCTCAGCACTGCCAAGTACCTCCTTCTTACCCGCAGGGAAGCAGGCAGGACAGGCCTTATCTTTAGCACTCAGCAACAAGAAATTTACATACCTAGGGTCCCCCAGCTGGGTGGGGGCAGGGGTAGCTGGAACTGATGTTCACACCCCACTCCTGTCCTCTTCCCCTCCTGCTTCAGTGATCACACTGAGAAACAGGTCAGTGGTCTCAGTGTGGGACTAAGGAAGATAAAATGTCCTTTTTCTTGGCCTTGGCACCTCCTCTCTCAGTCAGCAATTGCTTGGTGGGGTGTCCATGCAGCCGTTCAGCGGAGGACAAGTCTAGATGCTTGTCCTGAGGAGCCCACAGTCCAGCCTAACAGGACAACAGAAGTAAGGAGGCTGCTTGGTAACCTAGCCCCAGACTCCCAAGAATTGGCCCTGACTTCAAAAGCTGTTTGCCTTTCGGGCTCTGCCACCAGAGTAAATAGACAGGGCTAGCCCCTCCTGACCACCCCCAGAGCTATGACAACACGCATACCTCTAGCGATGGAGACTAGATATGCAGGAGTACTCTCAAACACATGTAAATGACGTGAATAGGGTCAATAGTGTCTATTTGCTGAACTTGTAATCAAAGATGGTGCAACTGATACTTCACTCTCTGGGTGATGGGACTAGTGTTTATGCTGAATCCAAACATTTGAATAATGGCATATTGTCATCCTCAGCAGTGACATATCTCATTGTTTAACATACTCACACATTATTGATCAGTAGTAATGAACATGTGTTTATATATAGGGAAAGTTGTAGAGTGTAGTGGGTAAGAGGTCAGCCCCAGGGGTTGGATAGTTCTTGGTTATAAATCTCATTCTACCACATTAGTCAGGATTTTGTAGAGAAACAGAACCAATAGGGTGTGTGTGTAAGTGAATGGATAGATAGATACGGAGAGAGAGAGAGACAGAGACAGAGATATAGATAGATATTGGGAGATTGGGAGCTTTATTTTAAGGAATTGGCTCAAGCAATTTTAAGGTCTAGTGAGTCAAAATTCTGTAGGACAGGCCAGCAGGCTGGAGTCCAGGGAAGCTGCTAATATAGCTCAAGTCTAATTGCAGTTTGGAGACAGAATTCCTTCTTCCTTTGGGAGGCCTATTCACATTTTGGAGAGTAATGATTTAAATGTTAATCGTATCTAAAAAATACATTCACACCAACATTTGGTCAGGTGTTTGACCCAAAACTGGCTACCATGGCCTGGCCAGTTGACACATAAAATTAACTATCAGAGCCACTGTGAGTCGAGGGTAAACCCTTTAGCCAGGTGGTCAGCCAGGAAGAACAGAACCTTTACCTTTGGAAAACCCACCCCACACTGCCAGCACTTCCGTATCCGTTACACATGCACCCCACAACAAAAGCTATCCCTATAGGATGTGTACACTTCTGCCCACCCCAGCCCCTCATCTCCCCTGCTGTCTCTGCCTTGTGCAGCGGTTATTTGTGTTCTCTTATTCCCCTCAGATAGGCAGAGGGTGACCTTGTCCTATTACCCTGGGACTTCCAGGCCTCCCTGACTACTCTCAAGCCTGTAGCCTATGCCTGTTTACCACCTGGGGCAGGACATCTCCCAGGGCCCTCACACTGCCTGGGCCTGCTTTCTCCAGTCCAGTCCAGTATGCAACTCTTCCTGACTGGGATTCTTGTGGGACTTCTGTCCTGGGTCTCTCCTCACAATCCAGAGCTCTGGCTGACTCGGTGGCCAGTAGGGCTTGGGCCATCTTGGCTTCTTCTAGGGTTCCAGGTAGTCCTGACACCCCCAAGTCAGGGGCCAGTGGCAGACCAGGAGACGGGAGAGGAAGCTAGATCTTGTTTCAGGGCCTTTCCAGGCCTCATAAGCAGAGACACACCCCACACACCTACACACACACACCTTGGGTTTCTGTGACGCTGTGGGGAAGAGGGACAAACAGAAGAAGGAAGAAAGAGGCAGGGTCCCTGCCTGTGTGGGGCACAGATAAGCAGAGACACACCCCACACACCTACACACACACCTTGGGTTTCTGTGACACTGTGGGGAAGAGGGACAAACAGAAGAAGGAAGAGAGAGGCAGGGTCCCTGCCTGTGTGGGGCACTTAGAAACTGCAAGACTGCAGCTTTCTAGTAAACATCATCCTAATTTAAGCTAATGTTTACACAGCACTTCTAAGTTCCAAGAACTTTCTCTGTAGTAACTCCTATGCTCTTCACCGTGACTCTCTAAAATAGATACTGTTGTCATCTCCCTTTTACAGAGGAGGAAACTGGAGCCCAGAGGGCAGAGCTGGGTTTTGAGCCCAGGTCACTGATTTGAACTTGGACTGCATGGCTCCTGGGCTGCATTCTTACCCCCAGTGCCTGCTGCTTCTGAGCACTTGGAAGCTGACTTGGAGGTCATCCAAAGCACTCACTTTTGAGTCCAGAGAGGAGAGTAGTCACCTTCCCTGAGCATCTCATGCCCAGGTGATGGCTCCTTTGTGGTCCTGTACCACTCTGCCTGCCCCTCGGCTGGTGTTGCCACTCGCTGCATTGTGTTCTCGTTTTTTTCTTTCTTACCTCAGCTAGTTGGGCAGGGACTGGGTCCTGCATTGCACATAGCAGGTGCTCATCAAATGTCTGTTGAATGAAAAGAAAGGGTAGCATTGCCATGTGCAGCACCAATAGCAACCAAATGACCGGACACCTGCTGAGCCTCCAGGGCCATGAGGGAGAATGAGGAAGTACCACCAAGAGGTGGGATCACTCTCAGGTGACTAGTCCCTGTGGATAAGACTTGGCAGTGGAAGGGGCTTGGAGATCCAAGGGGAATGTGATTCGAAATGCTCCGAGTCTAACAGAGGAGGCAGATGTGCAGGCCATAGAAACAACACTGCTTATAAGAAGTGCCACAGAGCAGACATGCACACAGACCACACAGATCGGAGGAGGAAGTGCCAGAAACCCTCTTGGCCAGCATCTACAAAGGTCTCGACAAAGGGTTTTACACATTATCTCATCTTCTCCCAACACCTGGGAATGCGAGTTCTACTGTCCGTATTGTAATGCCTCCAGGAGTGGCAGATGCTTCCCAGCCTGTCCAGCCAATTGGCACTGAGGCCGGGATGCCCAGGCAACTTGGGGACCACTTATTCCACAGAGTCACTGAGTGCCTGCCCTGTGGCCCTGACATTCTAGTGGGGGACTCTCAACACTAAACACACAGACTGTCAGGTGGCGACAAAGGCTACTGAGCAGAACAAAGCGGCTTCGCCTCCCTAGGCTGCAGTCTCACCCACAGCACCCAGGAGGTGGAGGGAGACCACTCTCCCCATCTCTGGGCTAGTGGGGCAGGTATACTCCTTGGAATGACTGAAGGCTCGGAGCTAAGGACAGGACAAGCCATTTTAGGAACCAGGGACTGTGTCACCCCTTCCCTCATCAGCCTAGGAGGGGAGCATGCTGCCAGGTCCTCTCTACCATGCTGTGGTGCTTGTGCTCCCCTTTCTGTGTCTAGGATGGGGGCCAGGTGGAGGCTTTTCTACTGTCACTCCTAGGACCCGAGGGGGAGATGGGAGAGTGGGAAGAAGGTGTGGGAGAAGTAGCATACACTTTGGGAGGTTACACTGTGGAAGAGAAAAGTAAAACTTTGCAGAGTGGAAAATGTTAAGTCTGGGCTTATTGCCATGGCTTTGGATCTTCCTAAGGTGTCATCTCACTCTAAGCCACTGATTCTCTGATTTGGGATCTGGCCCGTCTCTTGAGGAGATTGCTCCGTCATCAGGGAAGAGAGCAGAGAATAACAGATTGGCAGGCCAGCAGGCAGACGCAGAACAGTCAACATGTGGGTCATGCAGCACTGGGCTGGGATTCAGGAGACCGGGGCCCAGTGCAGTGCCCCTTTCCAAGGGAAGGGCTCATTTCTGAATGTTCAAAGGGAGAGATTCAGAAGACATTCCCAGCAGTTCTTACTAAATCATCTGACAGTGTTTATACCCTGAAGTTGTTGCCATGGCCAACAGCTTTCCTTGCTGACACTCAACACCTGGTTTAGACATCTGTACATTTAATAGAAACACTTGTGGAAATAAATGGTGCTTCCCATGCTCTTTCTACTCAAGCAAGAAGTTTCATGGAAATGAATTTGAGCTTCTTAAGAGATCATTTACAGCATCTCTGGAGTCCATGCAAGAATTGAATTTCTCAGGTGGAGGAAGGTGCTCTGCAGAGGTATGCACTGCTGAAGTTTTCACAAAACACATTTCATACAGCCCCACGTGGGCCACTTACTAAAGACAGCCTAAAGAGATTCATTCTGCTTCCTCTCCCGTGCTCTCTTCCTCCCCAAACACAGTCATGACCCCGCATGCCCTCTCCTCCCCAAGTGAGTTCAGCCCAGGAAGGCTCTGACAATAGCTACCATTTCCAGAACATCTGTATGCCATATCTGGGGGAAATGCTTTGGAAACTGCCATCCTCCCAGAGAAACTGTCATTAACTCCCACATTCTAGATGAAGAAACTGATCCTCAGAAAAGTTTACTTCTGTGGCCACGCAGCTCTTAAGTGGCTGAGCCAAGGGCTGTGTGAATGAGAAACATAGGCTCTTTCTGCCACTTGCACTGCCCTGTGGGCTCTGGTCACCTCCCCTGGCTCCCAGCCTAGCAGAATGTGAAGCCACCCCTATGTTGTATGTCTGCAGACCTCTCCCGGAGCTCTTCGCCACCATCACTGCTGGACCAGCTGCAGATGGGCTGTGACGGGGCCTCATGTGGCAGCCTCAACATGGAGTGCCGCGTGTGTGGAGACAAGGCATCAGGCTTCCACTACGGTGTTCACGCGTGCGAGGGGTGCAAGGTATGGGCTGTGGGAGGTGCTGTCTGGCTGTCAGGGCTGTGGTCACATGGTGAATTAACCTGCCAGAAAGGCTTTCCCTGAGGCGAGGCAGGGCCCTGACAATACCCACTGCAGAATTACTTTCTGGGCGGTAGCCAAGCCCTTGGACCCATTCCAGGGCTCACCTCTGGATCCTGCTGGAGAGGAGGGGTTCCCTTGTCAGGCCTGCAGCGCTGGGCACCTGCAGTGCTGACCCAGTCACTTAACCTGGGCTCCCTGGGCTATTTGCGCCCCCTGGGGACCTGGCTTGAGAAGACAGGCAGGACAGAATGGGAGTCTTAGGCTGAGCCATCTTCCTGAAATCAAGGCTTCCTATGCCTCAAAGCCTAAAGGGGGCTCTTTGAGAAAAAAAGAATATGTTACATTTCTTTTTCCAGTGGTGCTTTTAGGTTCTTCCACCCAACTATACACCCATCAAATTTTTCACATATTATTTTATTAAACCACTACCCAGAATATATGCAGAATCAGATGCTTTATGAATAAATCAGGTTAGTCACGATATAGTTTTAGGGTTATTTAGCTTCCTTCTCCCTCTCCCTTTCAAAAAATTCCCCCCATTACTTCATGAATAATTGGGCCCTCTGGTGCAACCCAGTGGACAGCAGGATTTTCAGCCTCTCTCCTTTCCTTGTGGATTTTTTCTCACTTGTGCACCTTCAGGGCTTCTTCCGTAGGACAATCCGAATGAAGCTGGAATATGAGAAGTGTGAGCGGAGCTGTAAGATCCAGAAGAAGAATCGCAACAAGTGCCAGTACTGCCGCTTCCAGAAATGCCTGGCACTGGGCATGTCGCATAATGGTAAGAGCTAGCCTGGGTAAGGCACAGGGGCTGCTGGCCCCACCCAGCCATCCTCCCAGAAACTAGGTTCCAGGGAGCCCAGAAAGGGGGCACCCTTGGAGCAGCACCTGGCACACAGTAAGCACTGCTAAGTGTCAGCTGTCGACCTCGCTGATCTGGACTCTGAGTCTTGGAGCCAGCACAAGGCTGGCCTAAGATCTCTGCCTTTCTCAGACTGCCCAATATCCACCATGGATCTTAGGCCAGGGACAGTCACCAGCTCTTTGGCCCAGAAGGCAAGCGGGAATTGATCCCAGTTCCAGTGGTGTTGGAAACACCACTCCTGGAACCTCAAGCCTCTCTTGGATGACCTGACAATGTGAAAAGCCACTGCCAAGGCCTGGAATCTCCTCAGTCCTACTTGGTTTTTGAGGGCAGGTGAGAGCCAGTATGTGACCACATGTCAGCTGCCAAGAGCCAGGTGGGAGTTTCCTGGAGGGCAGCCACTCTTAGGAGATAGAACCTGCGCTGTGCTCCAGGGCTCCTGTAGAGTCTTGTCTTCAGACCCCATAGAGTAGGATTTTACAAAGCTTACCTGCCCCCTCTTTGCCCCTCTGGGTCAGACCCCCAGAGGACAGGGAGAGCCTCTTGTTTAAATGTCTTCACCCACGGGTATCCTAACTGCCTTGCATCTTAGAGAGTGGCAGGACCTGAGCCCTCTGCAGCCTTTTTTTAGGTGATGGGGTCTGGCAGGTCTGAGATTTGATCCCTCTCCTCAGTTTGTATCTGCCCAGGCCCCATTACTTGGCTGAGGTGAGGGGATTTCCTAGATCTCAGGAATGACAATTCATCTGGATTTTTCTCTGAGAGAAGTCAGATTTGTATCCTGTTCCATTACTAATGACTACAGTTTTTGAGTGCCTACTATGTGAATAGTCTCATGTAATTGTTCAGACAATGCAGTGACGTTTATGTGTTAGCCTCATTTTTTCTTATGAAAAAGGTGAAGAAGCCTGCCCAAAGTCACACAGCTTTTAAGCTGCTGAGCTAGAACTCAAACACAGGCCTTTAACACCAAAGACTGTCCTCCTACCAGCCATGCTACACCACCTCTGAGCCAGAGTGGCTTAGTCACTCTGTTAGTTAGGGCCTTTGTATGCCGGGAACTGTGAACAAGGCAGACAGAATCCCTTGACCCTTGGAGCTTACATTCTGGAGGAGTTCCCTAACAATCCAACTTGCTGCCTCTAGAGCTTCTGAGGGCCCTGAGCGAAAAACATATGTCTCTGTCCTTGGCCCATGCACCTGTAGAGGGATAAGGAGGTTAGAGGTTCTGGCTCCTGCATGGACTCCTTGATGACTGTACCCCCATCCCCATGCAGCCATCCGCTTTGGCCGGATGCCAGAAGCCGAGAAGAGGAAGTTGGTGGCAGGGCTGACAGCAAGCGAGGGAAGTCAGCACAACCCACAAGTGGCTGATCTGAAGGCCTTCTCCAAGCACATCTACAATGCCTACCTGAAAAACTTCAACATGACCAAAAAGAAGGCCCGCGGCATCCTCACGGGCAAGACCAGCCACACGGCGGTGAGTGTCACTGGTCAGCCAGGCAGCGTCCCTGGCTCTGTACCCTGCTGCCACCTACCTGGCTCCTTACAGGACCAGGCCTCCTCCCTTCCCTAATTTCATGGTATAGGCAAGGGTCTGGGGAGCACATGGGTGGGGGTCCCCAAGGCCTGGCCTCTAACAGGGCCTGGTTTTCAGCCCTTTGTGATCCACGACATCGAGACATTGTGGCAGGCAGAGAAGGGCTTGGTGTGGAAGCAGCTGGTGAATGGCCTGCCACCCTACAAGGAGATCAGCATACACGTCTTCTATCGCTGCCAGTGCACCACAGTAGAGACTGTGCGTGAGCTCACCGAGTTCGCCAAGAGCATCCCCAGCTTTGGGAACCTCTTCCTCAACGACCAGGTGACCCTTCTCAAGTATGGCGTGCATGAGGCCATCTTCGCCATGCTGGCCTCCATTGTCAACAAGGACGGGCTGCTGGTGGCCAACGGCACTGGTTTTGTCACCCGTGAGTTCCTGCGCAGCCTCCGCAAGCCTTTCAGTGACATCATCGAACCCAAGTTCGAATTTGCTGTCAAGTTCAATGCCCTGGAACTTGATGACAGTGACCTGGCTCTCTTCATTGCAGCCATCATTCTGTGCGGAGGTAAGTCAGGGTGGGGCGGGTGGGCTGCCTCCACACAGCCAGCCCTCCTGAGGGTCGGGCCCTCCCTGCTGGGCGCCAAGCCTGAGCTCAGACAGCATAGGGAAGTGTCCATGTGATGATGGCAATGGAATGTGCAAGGCACCAGCTGCACATGCTGGACCAGCTCCAACTTATATAAATGGAGATGAGAGAAAAAAGACTGAAAGGACATATACCTACATGTTGATGGGGGTTATCTTTGGTGGTGGAAAAATTTTCTGTATTTTATCTACATTTTCAATTCCAACACAATAATTGTAGTTAATAATAATCATGTTAACAGTGGCATAGAGCTTACTTTATGCCAGGCACTGTTCTAGTTCCTTTTCCTAGATTTTAACTCATTTGATTCTCACAACGCTGTGCAGGAGGTACTTCTGTTATCCCCCATTTACAGATGAAAAAACAAGCCCAGAGAGGCTGAGTGGCCTGCCCATAGCCTCACCGCTAGTCTGTGGTAGAGACGGGATTTGAATCCAGGCAGTGAGTCTCTTAACCATGATACTGTACTGCTTAATCAGGGGAAAAAAAAAAAAAGGTGGGCCAGGGGTGGGGAGACTAGAACTTTCAGTGGGGCGATCACTGACAGGACAGGGCTTGGGTCTATCACAGCAAGGCCTGCTATCCCCTGGGCCAAGTCCTCCATACAAGGTGGGGGTAGGGGAACTCCTTTGGCCTTCTGAGACCCCATGCATGCCCATTCCCTCACACACCTCTGCCTTGTGTCTCCGCAGACCGGCCAGGCCTCATGAACGTGTCCCAGGTGGAGGCCATCCAGGACACCATCCTGCGTGCCCTCGAGTTCCACCTGCAGGCCAACCACCCCGACGCCCAGTACCTCTTCCCCAAGCTGCTGCAGAAGATGGCTGACCTGCGGCAGCTGGTCACAGAGCACGCCCAGATGATGCAGCGGATCAAGAAGACTGAGACGGAGACCTCGCTGCACCCCTTGCTCCAGGAGATCTACAAGGACATGTACTGAAGTGCATACCCAGGGCCTCCCAGCAGGCCTCTGGGGGCTGAGAATACGGAGCAGGCAGACAGTGCTGGGACAGGTGCCACTCACGGGACTTTCCTGTTGGCCAGCCCTGCAAACAGCATGGCACAGGAGCAGTGGGATCACACATACTGGTGTGCTCAGGCCCATGGTCTCTCGTTCTCCATATTCCCTTCTTCCTTCTCCCTTCGTCTCCTTCTCAGTTCCTCTTCTCTAATTTCTTTACCCTTTCTCTTCTACAGGTTCCTCTCTTCCTTCCTCCCTTTCTTTCTCCCGTCTCTTTGTCTGTCCCTCTTTCTCTTTCTCTGAGACAGTTTGTGTTATTTCACCAGCAGCATAGAACAAGACCTCTGCTTTTGCCCCCCGTCCCCTGGAGCAGAAGGGAGTGGGGCCTACCCTCTGCGTGAAGTCACCTGCAAGGGTGGCGGCCTCATCCTGTTCCTGTCTTCACAGCGAGGGACTTGAGCCATCCAAAGAAACACTAAGCTCTCTGGGCTTAACTTCCTGGGGAAGCTGAGCATGGTGTGGGCTGACTGCAGCAGTGGCCCCTAGTCACTGGGTCCCTATCCTGAGGGCCAGGATACCTCCCCAAGGCTGAGGCTGGCACCCCCTGACCCAACCGACCCTGCTCCAGCAGCACGCTTCCCCCCCACTGACACCCAACATCCTTTTTGTTCTTTTCACCGGTCTTCCAGGCCAGTGTCACTAATGGCCCCCTGCGCTGGCCGCTGGTGGGTCCCCCCGCAACCTGGAAGGATGTGGGATTTCCTCCAGGTGGGGGCTCCCACACCCCTATTGAAGAGGAGTGAGCCTCAAGTAGGCAGAGGTTGTTGAGGAAAGCAGAGAGCAGTGAACTTAACTCTGACCCCAGGCATCAGGGTCAGCCCTCCATCAGCACCCCACACTCTGCCAGCAGTCTGCAGCAGCCTCTAAGTCCTGCCTTTGTTTTGTCAGCACCACAGATCTCATCTCTCTCCCAGGGCCAAGGCCTTGCCTCACACATGACCACGTTCCTTTGTCTAGCCAGGAGATGCTAGCACTGGCTCGAGCTCAGCTGAAGCTCAGGCCCGTCCCCCACACACACTCCCTGGAGCTGCCACTCCAGCACACACCACAAGCACTGAATTCACTTTATCCGCAGGTTCCACACCCCTCACCCTTCCCTCTGTAAGGCAGGTACATGCTGAGAGGAGCCTACAGGTGGATAGGCAGAGAGCTATGCACCCCTGTTCCCAGGGATGAACCAAGTCTGTTTATTGTGACATCTATTTGTCCCAACCACTCTGCTACCCTCCCCTTTCCCTGTATTCAGCCCAGCTGGTCACCTAGAACCTTGCACAGCCTCTGGTCACAGGGACCTTGCCGGGCTAGTCCCACTCCTCTGGCCTCTGCCCCTCCTCTCCACCTCCCCAGGTACACTCAGTGCCCCAGAGGAGGGGCTAAAGCACAGCTAGTAGTGCTGTTTCTGAGCAGGAGGGCAGAGAGCCCCGCTAGGCTGCTTTTCCGGGGAAGAAACTGGCTGGAGGGCTGAGGGACTGGCTAGGATCTCTGAGAAAGGTGGTTGAAAACCTGGGGTTAGAGCCCAGGATTCCTGGGTCCTCTGTGGCCCTCCTTCGAAAGGGGCCTTTCTGACTGACTGCAGCTCTGGGAAGAAATGCCCTAGAGAAAGGACAGTCCCAGTGTCTGCGCTGGCCAGCACTATGGCCCCCCATGCCCAAGGATCACTCTGCTGGCAAGATTCTTCCCCCTCTCCTCCCACCCTCGCTGACCAGGGATTTGGGTTAGGGGTGTTTCCTTTGGGCCAGCACTGTGAAGGGAGAGAAGCTGTGCCTGACCTCCCCCTCCCCCACCACCTGCCCCATCTCTATCCCCCGCCTAGTTCTGGTGCTGAGAATACAGCTCTTCTCGGTGTCTGAACAGTCTCCAAAATTGAAATGTATATTTTTGCTAGGAGCCCTAGCTTCCTGTGTTTTTAATATAAATAGGGTGCACAGACAGAACTTTAAATAAATGAGAATTAAATATTTAAGAGCTGACTTAGACTGACTCAGTTCCTTGCATGTTTTTTCTGAGAGCTGATCAGACTCCTCCCCCTTCTCACAGAGGGGTAAACTTAGTTGGCCAAATGAGAATTTAGGGTGCTGGCCAATTGTGGCTTGGAACACCCCATCTTTCCCCACTCAGCTGCTCTGCTCACTACTCGTCAGTCAGCAAAGGTTGGAGAGGGCTGAGAAGATGATATCCCTACCCTACAACAAGAATTTGAGGTGTAGAGGGGAAAGGATAACACTCTCAAAAGGTGTGTGGTACCATGATGCAAACCAGGTTGGGTGAGAGGGGCCGGGAGGGTCTCCAAAGGGCCGTGGAGGAGGCAACTAACTCCCCCTGGGCCTTGAGTGGCATATGGGACTTGCAAAGCCAAAGCCTGTCATTCACTGTCAGTTTTTTATTACCTCCACAAGTGATCGGGGCTTTCCTCTCCTTAGCTGACACTCCAGTGTTCTTTACTTCCAGTGGTGCCATCTTCACAGAGGCTCCAGGGAGCCCAGACTTCAGCAGTCAGTGGGCTCGCCTGCAGCGTGAGGCAAGTTCAGGGTGTGTTTCAGTGCTTGTCTAGCCAGAAAACAACCACAGCTAAATATTTCAAAGTGGGGCGTTTACTCCAAGGAATTGTTACAAAAGTATCGAAAGGACTGAAAGATCAAAAGGGGGGAAATTGAAGGAGGAAGGGAGGAGAGGAGAGAGGATTGGACCCCTGGCTGGTGATATCCCCAGGGAGCCTGGAAGAAGCAGATGCAGATGCAAAGCTTTTCTGGAGAATGGACACAGGCAGTACAGAACCCCCACAAAATTACAAATGTGAACAAACGAGCCTGCATGAAAATAAAAAGACATAACCACTAGTGAAATTAGAGCCCTAGGGCTTCAAAAATATAACAATTATAATATAAATGTTTTATATAATTAAAACATAGGAATCAAAACCATAAGAAAGGAACAATTTGCTTTTTAAGGAAAAAAATATTTTTTTCCACATCATATTCATTTCTGCTACATTTCTATTTTATATTAGTTTCAGGTATACAGAACAATGCTTAGACACATATAATTTATGAAGTAATTTCCCTGATTAAAAAGACAAATATTTTTAAATACCTGAGTGTCCAGAAAAAAAGAAAAAAATTCAAAGAGTTTAAAAAACAGAAGCAGCCAAAGATATTATTTTGCACAACAACAACTAGAAATTATCCAGAAAATAGTACAGGAAAACCAAGATAGAAAATATGGAATGGAAGAATAGCAATACAAATTCTCATATAGTGAATAAGGGAGCAGAAGTTGGTACAAACAACTTGAAAAACAATTTAGCAAAAGCTAGTCAGTTAAAATGTGTGTGGATGCTGTGGGGTATCCCCCAGGTTCCACCCCTTAGAACCCAGGCACTAATTTCCTTGGCTGCTGAGATCATAGCTGAGTTTCTCTCAGGAAATTGCCCTTACTGAAAGGAGCTGCCTTGCCCAGGATAAGGACACCCCCTCCTCAGGGGCAGCCTATAGCCAACATGGGGGTATGAAGCCAAGCCTCCTTGCCCCAATTTGGGACAACTTAAAGGAACATCCTAGCTCCAGAGCTGAGGCCTCTGTTGCAACTACATCGCAGGTCAATTTATCTCTCTACCCAATCCTGCTTCCTTCGATTCCTTACAGGTGTTATTCCAAGGAGCACTCCCCAGTGGGTGTCCTGCAGGTAAACCTCCAAATCCGTTTCCCGGAGAAACCAACCCAAGACAATACCCTAGAGTGAAACCCACCAGATTACACCTCGTATATATGTTCATCAGAGTAATAGCAAAAACTTGGAAACAACCAAAATGTTCAACAGGAAAAATAGATAAATTTGATATATTTATACAATGTAAAAAAAAAAAAAGCACACAAGAAGAAACACATGGGGGGAAATTTATATAATCTCATAGATAGACCTTTCAAAAGTCTATACACAAAAGTTTCCAAGTTTCATGCAATATATATGAAACAGTATATAAAATTAAAAAATGAAAAACTTACCATATACACATTTTTAAAATTTATTCCTGGGGAAAAAAAAATTAAAAGTTCTAAGTCATGTTAAAAAAACACACAATCAGACAAAGAATTCATTTCCTTAATATATAAAGAGTACGTACAAATCAATGAGCAACAGGTTAACAACCCAATTAAAAAAATAGGCAAAGGATATGAACAGAAAAATAAATGCTTAAGCATAAAAAGATGCCTAAACTTACTCATAGTATGAGAAATGTATGTTAAAACTACAAGGAGATACAGTTTTTTTACTTACCCATTAACAAATACTAAAAAGTTTGATAACATTGTGTTGGCAAGGCTGTGCAGAAATAGGCACTCTCATACCGTGGGTAGGAGTATAAACTGGAACAGCCTCCATAGAGAGCAAATTGGCAGCACTTATAAAAATTTTTTTAAAAATAATTTTGATCCAGCAAAAGTAAAAGAAGTAACTAGATGTCCAAGTTTGTTGGTTTCCCAATCTAGTGTCTCAATTTACTAATAGACACAGTAAATTGTTTAAATTCAATTTAAAAATCTCTTTAATTTAAAAAGTGAATTCCTCTTATTTGCTTTTTTTTTTAACTTTCCCAACTTACCTCCCTTATGGGGCAGTGCAGTCTACTGGAGAGAACATCGGCTTTGGACTAGTAAGATGGGAATTGAGGGGGTCTTAGAAAATAGAGCTGGAAGGGCTCTCGGAGCTCATGGTCCTCCTCCTACCTCCTCATCTTCAATGAGCCCAGTCCATTTTTCTTCCCACTGCAAGGTATGAATCTACCAGACATTAATAATGCCCAGGAGAGCGGCTCCGACTGGCTCATTTGCTACCATCCAATTTGGAAACCCCTCATTGGAGAGAGTCTCAGGCAGGCACCCTCCTGGACACCTTTCGTGGTGGCCCCTGCTGAGTCATTGACACTATTCTAATTTCTTGTGATCAGGATAGCAAGTCTGCTTCAATGACAAACGGACCACAGTGACTTTTCGTAGAAAGAACATCTTGGGCCTGAAGCCAGGCCTCCAGAACCTTTTGGGTCTGTCCAGTACATGGCCAGTCTGGAACCCTCGCCTGGCTCACACCATCTCCTGGAGGTTCCACAGGCTCCCAGCACACCATCTGATCTCTCCACCAACCTCAGCTCCATTTGTGGGGTTCACAGAACTCTGAGGTGGGGGAGGCTCCCCTCTGGCCTCCTCAGTTACAAATTCCCCCTCAGACATTAGCCAAAGGACTCCCAACCTCACACGTCCTTGGTCCTGGGTTCCATGTCTTCATGGGCCCCTCCCAAGTCACCCTGCCTTCCTGAACCCTTAAAGTCCTTAAACCAACCTCCAGTTTTCTCCAGGAACCATTACACTGTCAGGGGAAGGCCTTCACGCCCACCTCACTCACACCCCTGGCCCCCAGCCTCCTAGCTGTCCTGCCTCGGCCCTCCATCCCTCCTGCCTACAGGCCTGGCTGGGGTCAAGGGAAGGGGTGGGCCTGGCCACAGAGCTCCTCCTCCTGTTTGCCCTGCCCAGATAGGGGGGGATAAAGGAGCATCAGAGGAGCCCTGTCAGATTCTCACTAGGGCCTGCAGCTGGGATGGACCCTGCAGGGCTGGATGGCGGAAGCCTTGGTGGGGAGAACAGCCCCCACTCCCAACGGCCATTCAGGTAGGAATCTGGATCTCAGGGAACATAAGGAAGGTGGGAGAAAATGCGGGGGGTGGGGGGGGCACGCAGCCTGGCCATTGAAAGTCCAACATCTAAGAATTTAGGGGTGCATTGAGGGGAGGAGGGACTTCCTTGCCCAACATTGGAAATTTCTAGAGATCATCTCCCAGCCTCTCACAATCCAGAGGAGGAAACGGAGACCAGAGGGAGTAAAAGGCATGCTAAGGCTGCACAGCTGGGTCAGGGTTAGCTCAGGATTTGACCATTTAGAGCAGGGATTTCCCACCTGCTTTCCTTCTCTGCTACCCAACAAAGGTTTTCTCTGCCCAGAAACACAAAATATCTCCCTGCGGGTGGGATGTGTTTTCCTGGTCACCTTTGTAGCCCCAGCACTTAGCACAGTGCCAGGTATTCATAAATATTTGAATGGAAACACTTCGGGTTGAACATTACACTATTAGAGAGTCATTCTTTGGGCGTGTTAGCTTACAAGGCCTTCCATCAGATTTTTATACCTTAGCACAAATTCATTTTGCCAACAGCTAGAAGAGATCAGTTCCCCAGAGAAAACTGAAGTTTGGGTAAAGGAGGGATAATTGTAGATCTTAGTGTCTCAGTGTGAAGTAGTTTTCTCACTTCCTTTTAGTATAAGAAAGGCAGCCAGGTAACTAGAGGGAGACCAAAAAAAAAAAAAAAATGATGGACTTTCACTGAAGGAGATTTTCAATTGTTCCTGAGCTTTGTACAGGGCCAGGAGAGTGGCAGCCTAGACTAAGTTCGGGCCCTCGAGTTTTAAAAGCCCTGGTCAGGGGGCTCATTTGGCACGCTCCTCCTCCCCCTTTACTGTTCCCATCCCTACCCTTCACAGTCCCTACCCTTCTCCTCTGCCCACCCACTCCAACAGTCTAGTTCTAATTCCCCAGGCTCATTGCCCAGGGGTCTACTGCTCCAGCCCCCCAGCCACCAAGCCCCTTCTGCTGCCTTCCCAGGCCTGGATTACCTGTGACCTCTGGCTGCTCTGTCTGCACCTCTTGGCCTCAGAACTTAGCTTGAGAAATTCCCCAAATCCAGCAGCCCTCACCCCTTACAAGTCAATTGAGCTAAGTGAAGACAAACACCTGTGTCATAGTCCTAGCTCTCGTTCCCGAGTCCCAGGCCTATTATTTTACCTCTTTGAGCTTCATTTTGAAAGCAAAAAATGAACTCCTGACTTTTAAGGCTGGTTTGAGAATTAAGTGAGCTAATTTGACATTTCCCCAAACAAAATGTGTTTTATTGGTATGTTAAGGGTGTGTGGGTGGAGGGCATAA